GGCCTCTTTGAAACCTTCGTTGTTGGCCGCATCCACCTCATCCTTCCTTGATTGTTTCAACGCTTCCAGCTCGGCCCGGAGAGCGTCCCTTTCGTTCTCAGCGGCTCCAAGTTGACCAAGCTATTTGGAGTTGTCTGTGTTGGCAATCTCCAAAGAGGCCTTTGACCGTCCCAGCTCGATCTGCAGATGCTCAACCTGGCTGGCAGCGTTGGTCGCTTTCTGCTGGAGTCTATGGATCCGTTCCATCACCAGATGTTGTTTTTGGATGGCTTGCGAGAAGGGAGTTTGATTAGAAAAAGGAAACCGAGCAAACACTTGGAAAAATTTGAGTAAAGCCTTCAAAATTCTTACCCGGGTCATAGACTTGATCGAGGACTTCACGGGCCGGGTGTCGGGCACGTGGTCGATGCCGATCACATTGCTCGGCAGGAGCAGGGCTTTTATTAGGTCGAAGGCGAGGATGTGTTCTTTATCTCCTATGACCGAAGCATTGGTCGGGATCTCTTTTCCCCGGTGCTTCAATTGAGGCTTCCAGAGAGGTGTTGGCTCAGTTGTGACCGCTGGTTGCTCAGTATTCAGCTCCGCAATGAGCTCGGCTGAGGGATCGGCGACGCAAGGCCTTTTCTCAGGGCTACGGCTTTCCTTGCTTGTTTGCACCGCGGCAATTGACGCCAATGCAACCACGGCCCCGCTTGATTGACCAGCAGCAGCTGCGCGGGAAGGGATGCTCGGCAGCTCGGTGGATGTGGCAGTGATGAGATTTTTGATGCGGCTTCGTTTGGCTAGCTCCTCTGCTTCTGTCAGCCAGATTAGGGGCATGTCCGGTAGTGTTGGATTGGGAGGTGGAGACGGCGCTCAGAGGAAGTCTGTTACTCTACTTTGACGAGGAGCGGAATATCTGTAGGTCGGTACATAGCCGAGAAGTTCGTGGCAATCCCAGTCATGGTACCGCAGTATAGTTCTGATGGCTGATTCGTTGGGATTATGATAGTTGGCTTGCAAAGCTTCAATGGCTGCAAAGAGGAAAACAAGAAAAGGCATTAGTACAGAGTAGTGAAGGAAAATAATTTGACCAAGCAGCGTGCACGACTTACATGTCGAATCGAAGTTCTTGCTGATGTACCAACCGGACACGTCGGCTGTTTCATAGTTTCCAGACACTCAGAAAAAGTTGTCGTCGTGCATATCTTTGACTAGGGTGCCGGTTACTATTTTCTTCTTGCCCGGTCTGATCTTGAGGTAGTAGTTTAGTCCATCGCTTGTATGCCCGAGGGTGTACTAGCAAAGTATCTCGGCTAAACCTAGGCTGACTCCTAGCCGGTTGTTCAGCTCGGCTATTCCGTTAATTATTCTATAAGTGTTGGTTGAGACTTGCGTTGGTGCTAGCCCGGTGCACCTCAAGAACTCGGACATGAGGGGATTGACCGAAAAGTGGAGGTCGCCTTCGATAATGGAAAGCACGGTGAAAGGGCATTGGTCTAGTCTGCCCCAAGGGGTTGTGTCCTCGGCACTGAGCTCGAGATGTATGTCGGCGGGGACACCGTATTCTTCCCAGAACGCGGCTAATGCGACCGGCGTGTCAACCAGGAAGCGGTAGCGCCCCATGTGTAGTCGGCTGTGTTGGTTTGGCAAAAACTCTCGTTTGATAGCTGCTTGGTCTTTGAGAGCCTCAGTGTTGGTGCGCGGTCCCCTTGGACTCTGCAGTAAAAGGAGTGTAAGTGTAAATGGGAGCGCGGTCGCGCAAAACGAGCTTGACTTTAGCTCGGTCATATGGTGTGCCAGTCCATCTCGGTCACAGAGGTAAACCAGAAGCTCGGCCGCTCAAGCGGACTAGATTTTAGCCCAGTCGAGCGGTCCAGCACTCCGTTACCTCAGTTTCTACACGAGTTTCGTAAACTCGTAACTTGCTCGGCTTCGGTGTTTTTTTGAGATCAAAAGAAGACCTGGAGCCCGGTTCGCCCCAGATCTTCATGTGTTCATCACTGAAGTTGAAGAACAGTAACGAGAGCAGGGGCAGAAGAGGATTTTAGGGAGCTATATCCTAAAACCTATAGTTTTTGTGCCCTAAAATGAGAAATACCAAATGAAAAAGCAATGAAGAGATTCGAAGAACTTACCAGAATGAGGCAAAAGTCGAATCTTCGAGCACAAACGCAGTTGAGAGCTGGAATGATGCTGGGTAGTAGGGAGGGCACGACAGCCTTGGTTCATCTGGAACAAAGGTGAAACAATAAGAAGAAAATGAAAGGGGGATGTGGCGTGTTTATAGGAGAAAAGAACCGCCAAAATTTTGAATGTAAAGAGACGTCTGGGTTGGCTGCTCGAGGCCAATAAATGATCGACACGTGTCCCTATTGACAACGACGTCAGTATTGAAGAGACATGAAGGCAAGTTGAGGCATCGACAAGAAACTGAGCGTATCGATTAGCGCGGTTGACGTCTTGCAAACTAAGAACCGAGGGAGAGTCTACCCCGGTCGGATCATGTAATCCCAGTCATGCTTGCGCAGACGGAATTAAGGGGCAATTGAGAGGGAGATTTATAATCTGGCTTTGGGCCGTGGTAGAAGTCGGACAAGATAGGGCCGAGCATGATTGGGTCGAGCTAACTTGGGCCTGTTCAGAGTGGGTTTTACTCGGTCGAGTCTCAGGCCCCCTGTTTAGGCCGAGCTAACTGGGGCTTCCCTAGAGTTGGTCTTGGTCGGTCGAGGCCTAAGCTTGAGGTCCCGATCCCCTGTTTGGACTGAGCTTACTTGGCAGAGATGATCGCCTGCCAACCCGGGTTCCATGGTTCGCACGTGTAGCTCGACAGGGAAGGCCTTCTACTCATCGGTTCGACCTGTCTTGAACTCGGCTCTGCCGGAATGCTACCGAGCTCGGCTGTTATGGAGCTCGGCAAGTGGAGCACTCGGACTCGTTACACAGCACGGTCGTGGAAGGCCGAGGAGGATGCCATCGGGCTGTCGAGTTCCCGCTAATGTTGTCTGGCGATTTAGTTAGGCGGTGTTCGTTGGATTTGTGCTGACAGATGGGAGAGCAGCTCCACGTGTCAAGAGACTAATGGGTGCAGAGTTGAGCATAGAAAGTATATAAGCATGACTGCACCCCTCCATGCTGAGGATGGAACATCATTTGGTAAGAAACACTCATTGTGCTATATCTCTCACCTCCTCTCTCTCCCTGAGGGTGTGCTAACTTGACCGTCGGAGGGCTTTTCTGGCAACACACCGCCGGGCAGCTCACCACCGTTGTGTTCTCAGGTTGATCGGATAAACAAGGAGCTTGGATGAAAGGAGTACGGACGGGGACGAACATTTCCTCCACGTACAACAGACATTTATTATTAATGAAAACTTATTGAATCAAGGGAGCAAAGACGAAATCTCCCATGGCATCAAAGTTCTTTCGTCTCTATTCCACTCACAAACTAACTAGTTCTAACGGTTAGAATTAGTTTTTCACAAGCTTTTTTTTCAACTCAGCTCCAATGAATACCCAACAACTAAGTACCTAAAGCCAATATCGTTGTGCCAGTCATCAGTTTTGTTGGGTTATCCGAGCAATAAGTTGGTATTTATAGGGTTCAGTTGACGAGTACTGGAGTGGAATCTTTACCAACAGCATGATCTCCAGTCACAATTTCTCAAGAAACATACCACCTGCATGCTCACAAACAGTTAGGCTATGTTTGGTACAGCTCTAGAACATTAGTTCCAAACCTTATTTATAACATGATGTTTGTTTACGCGTTTCAAAATTTAATTCCACGCTCACTTTTGAAAACTCAGTCGAAGACGAGAAAATTTGAGCTAACCGGTTATCCCACCGGACGTCCGGCCGATTGCCCAACCGATTGACCGAAACAGTGTAAATTTATTTATTTATTTTTTTTTTTTTTTTTTTTTTTTTTTACAAAGGACACATTAATTTTTATATATTCAAAAAAAAAAATTTATGAATTTTTAAAAAAAATTTATGAACTTTAATAGAATTTTGAATTGTGTATTTAGTTATGAGTTATAAATTTTTGTATCAATATTATATGTCCCATAAAAAAATTTTCACTCAATTCAAAAATCTTTTCAAAACTTTTTCACCAAACAAATTTTTCACATTCAAATCATAATTTCAAAACTCACAAACTTAAAATACAACTCCTACTCTCAAATCATATTTAGAAAACTCTACCAAACACAACCTTCGGTCTTCTTCTATCCTGGTGGACTCAACCCTCCTTCTAGGTCTTTATCACATACCAAACCGTAACTTTACTTTCTAAATCCTTCTGCCTTCCTTTTCTTTTCTTTTCTTTTCTTTTCCTTTTTTTGGTTCACCATAATGTTCAGAAATTCATCTTGATTATTTAACAACTGCATGATTACCAGAAAGGGCCAAAAAAAAAAAAAAAAAATCAAATTCTTTGAATTTTTGAAGACTTTGAATTTTTTGAATTTTTGAATTTTTTTTTCCTGAAGACTTTGTTTCAATTTTTTTTTAAATTTTTTTTTCTTTTCTGGTTGGTCTAGTTAGCTAAAACTTAAAGGGAAAATTGGGCTAAGGTCCCTCCTCTACTTTTGAAAAAATCTTTTCAAAACTCTTTCACCAAACAAATTTTTCACATTCAAATCATAATTTCAAAACTCACAAATTTAAAATATAACTCCTACTCTCAAATCATATTTAGAAAGTTCTACCAAACACAACCTTCGGTCTTCTTCTATCCTGGTGGACTCAACCCTCCTTCTTCTAGGTCTTTATCACATACCAAACCGTAACTTTACTTTCTAAATCCTTCTGCCTTCCTTTTCTTTTCTTTTCTTTTCCTTTTTTTGGTTCACCATAATGTTCATAAATTCATCTTGATTATTAACAACTGCATGATTACCAGAAAGGGCAAAAAAAAAAAAAGGAGCATCATTTAAATATACACACTGTTAAAAGTAGTTGAGAAAGTTTCTTTCACAACAGCAAGCAAATAAAAAGAACCCATTACATTCAACTGAAGGGGGAGAAAAAAATAAATAAATAAATAAATTAGAGGAACATACCTAATATACAAAACAAACTTCAGTGAGAAAATGTACAATTGTTTGGATAGGATGCCGAAAAAATATATTTAATGCCATAATTACTACACATAAGCATAATTCACTGGGCATTACTATAGCCTACATTATGTTACCTAAGTATTTAAGTGTGGGGCTCAACAGCCATAAAAGAAACTCTACATCAACAAAACCTGGTGAAAGTCAAAATGGTGTACCAATGCATCCGTTTCATGGTGGTGGAAAGTGGTTCAAATAGACACAAATCCAAGATCAAGTCATTCCGTAATGAAAAAATCGCGGGCCCACCATTACTAGCTGCGGTTGTGCTTGGAACTTCACAGATGAAAGTCCACTGCAGTCAATCATCCTGGAGACTAGTTTAAAAAGAATTTACAAGTCAATTTAAAGGAGCATGGTAGGGGGAACAAAAAGATAACAAACGGAAAAGGGCATACTTCGCCTTACCAGGCAAAAACACCTAAGGAATTTCAAGAAGCTGGTGGAGGCGGCACTGCTCTATGACGAAATAACTTAGCCAGTGCTCTGCGCTCACAGTCCTGCAGATACATTAATACATGAATAAAAAGGTCCTTTGAGTGTGAATTGTTTGAATGAGTATATGATATATTTTGTTCTACCTAATTAGTTCCGCACACGAATAGAAGTGTTTAACATGCATCCATGTCTGTGTTTGGCACATCCCAAAAGCACAATGATAAATTTGAATGTATTTGCTTGCTTTTATATTGCCTATTACTCTTGAGTCTCAATGCCACAACAGTAATATTGGCATTGGGGTTTTCTCAAAAAATTAGAAAGCCTAACTAATGGGTACATAACCACCAACCAAAGCCACAAATAACAATACATCTCAGATGTTATGTTTACCAACATGTGTGTAGGAAATCAACCTAGCTCTGTTTCCGAGCATTGACAAGACCTTTTTAAGAATATCACGGAGATAAATCATGAAATGGGTCGATGACGGCACTAAAGGGAAACCAAGAACTAAGGTGGTTACAGTCCCTGAGAAATGTTAAATTTACAAATATTGCACTTAAAACAGTAGTCGACAATCACAAACAACAAACTGCTGAAGCACAATGTAATGGAAAGAATAGTTTTATTTTAGTAATTACCCACCTTGAACATATTTAGAAAGAATGGCCTATCTGGATTCAATCTCTTCAGCTTCAAGAAAGTATAAGCAAAGCTCAGTTGATCACGTGATGTAAAACGGTTAACTTCATTAAACCAAAGGCATGAAAATAAATTTGACATCGGTGTATGGGCCTTAACAATAAATGAACCTTCTGGCACATCTGCAAAGTGCAAAGCATATGACAAACAAAAATAAGCACATGAGCATCAACGGGCAATAATTGCAGATAAGGAAAAAGGCAAACTCCAAAATAAAAAAAGACAACGACACGCACAACTTGGAAGAGGAGTATTTAGGTCTGAAGGGTCAAACTTGGTGAGACCGTCAGACTGGTAAAAGTTGAACTGTTCATCGATGGCTGTGTGGTTGTATTTATTTAGACGCTTATTCTGGTGTACCTCCTCCCAAACACAGTGGCGAATATAATGATTTGAAATAGCATACTCTGATCCAGTTCGCCACAAAAAGAATTCAAGGATCAGCATCGGATCAGTCTGAAGTCGCATCTTGCTATCAAGCCAAATAGAATACCTAAGAAATCACCACAGAATAAGAAAATATGTTATGTAGAAATCTTGGTGTTGGTTAACGAAGAAAGCAAATAAGGTCAATAACCCAGTCATCTACAAAATTTGGTGCGAGAATCACCTAGAAGAAGGGAAGAGACGATGTGATAGAAATTTTGGCACCTTTCCAGTTTTGCGCATATCCTTGTAGGGTAGGTTCCTCACAATAACTATTCTCCATAACCCAATACATCCTCTCTCATCAGGAACATTCCCCTCTGTTGACAGTTTCAACAGTGTTTGCTCATCTAAAAACATGACGAAACAAACATTCTTCTTGGAATACTCACTGATCTGTAGCAGAGAAGAAATATTTACCAAACAGAGTATACTGTCCTAAAGTTAACACAGAAAACAAAAGCAAAACCCAAAAACATCCAGCAGTTCCAAAAAAATGAGAATTTTTGTTGTGATTATTGACAGCTAGCATGGTAGAGCAAAGAAACTAACAGTTCTTAGCTTCTGAGCTGGACACACATTCAGTGTCTAATCCTGAGATCATAATAACAAGATCATGAAACATAGTCATACTTATGAGAAATAGTATATCATGAAAACTCAAAGCACTGTCAGCAGAACAGAATTGAATGAAAAGGTAAGAAATTATCCAGTTAACAATCAGAATTATCTGAATAAGAACCAGAGCTTGATCAAGACGTACATCAAACAGCATATTTTAATATTTACATATAACAACAAAGTCTCCATTGATAGAACATTTAGATGAAATGAGTTACACTGTAGGAGATTTCATCCCTTGCATGCTGGTTATTACTCAAATTCTTTCCAGTTTCTTTTCTTTGAGTGTCGAAAAATATAACTCAATCTTGGAGGAGTCTACTTCTGTGTGTGGTGGTGAATTACTAAACTGAATTCTCTTCGTAATTTTTTGGCAAGCAATACATAATGTGGATTACTACGTATAAAAAATATGAATAGTTGTCAATCTTGAGTGGGTTTGCAGAAGCAGAAAGAAAATAGCTCATTTACCAGTTTGCTGGTGGGCCTCCTCAAAAAGTCAGAGCTACCAAAAATGCAAGATGATACAACAACTTTACAGGTATTCATGTATGACTTATCCTTTTCATCCAAATCAAATCCAGTGCTTGGATATCCGTCTGGTCCTCCCACAAAACCACAATGAATTGTTTGATTCCTTGCATAAAAGGATTTCTCTCTTTCTTCGAGGGTTTGATGTCCTCCAAATCTGGGTTCAAATTGGTCATCCCCAAAAGGTTTCTCCTCTCTATCAACATACCAGTAGGAGAATTGTGTGAAATTTGCATAATCCTTTGGCTCAACAAGATTATTGACCGAGCCCAAAAGCCCAACCTCACAAGGAAAGAAATCTGAAAGATGGAATATTTAGAGGGAAAAAATAAAATGCATTAGAATGTAATGAAAGAAAACATAAACAAAATTAGTTTAGAGACTTTAATGTTAGGATCACACAAGTAATATGAACTTTAAAATTAACACATAATTTATTCAGTGATTCAGTGTAACACCAAAAATTACATAAAGAATTTCACACTGAATAATAAATTTGCAGAACTTTTTGGCTTCCACCACAACACTACTTGTATCCATAATTGGTCAAATGGATCAATTAATTTGTTCTCATTGACTAATATCACCTTAGGCTATATATTTGAATGACAGTAATCTTAAGGGGAAATGGGAATCAGTCTGTTTGGTTTGAGTTTTCTGAATTAAGTTTTTTGAAAATTGTGTTTTTTGGTTTTCGTATTTTTTTGTTTTTAGTGAATATTTTTAAAATTTTAAACTTTTTTTTACTTTTTTAGATGCAACTTACTTAGATGTATCTAAAAAGTAAAAAAATTGTGAAAAAATATTTTTAAAAATTAATAAATACATAAAAATACAAAAAATGTATTGAATCCTCGTATTTTTATTGTATTTTTGATATTTAGTGAATTTTTAAAAGATTTTTTTCAATTTTTTTTTTACTTTTTAGGTATATTTACGTTAAGTATGTCTAAAAATTAAAAAAATTGCTCAAAATATTAAAAAAATTCAGTAAAAACAAAAAAATACGGAAAATAAGATAGTAGAATTTTCTGAAAAGTGTTTTTGAAAAGTGGTAACCAAGCATAGTGAATATGATTCCGAATCCCATGATTCCAGCATTTAAAACAGGCTGGAATAGGAAAGTGATTCCTAATTATCTATTTTAGTAGGAATCACATTCCCAAACTAGGTAGGAATTCGATTCCCCCACTCCCCCATTGGAATCTCACATTCCTAGATTAATGTTAGTCATTTAAGAGTAAAAAAATAATTGGGCCCACAATCTTTAAAATTTGTATTATTTTCCCATTGAGGATTCCCAACGAAACCAAATGCTTGAATAGCATTGCCACATGAGTTTTATTACTCGTAATGACATTCCCATTACTCCTCAAGATTCCTGTCATTCAAACATAGCCTTGGTGCTTGTCAAATCAAGATTAGACAAACAAATAAATTTTAACCCTAAATCAAATAAATTCAATAAGCATGATCCTTTCTATAGTTATTACATTGATAGAATTGGATACAAAGTTTTTAAAATAGATTCGCAAGGATTCTATATTGGTAAACTGCCTTTGCAAAAATCTGGATGGAACACATCAACCATTCTTTGTATCAGTTCAAAATGTAATACTTTAATGCATGGGGTTGCATTGTCTGTATATATATATATATATAAAAGTGACTTTAGTTTGAGATGATTTGAAGAAAACTCAATTTGAATCACTAATCCTCTGATTTCTCAGTGTATTCATAAGTAGCATTTGACACATTGGCCTCATAAGCAAAACCTATTATCTAAAGCACTTTAAATTGAACACAACATACGACATACATGATATTTCTAAACCAAAGATTGTCCCCATTTAATAGTTTTTTTACGTCAACAATGACTATAACCCATCAAAATTGGAAAGAGTTAAGCATTTAGAAGAAGATTTTTCATTCTTCAAAGTCATTAGCTTATTCCAACGAACGAAACTGCTAACATGCTGGTTCATTGAGAATGCGCAAAAAATGGAAGCATCAATTGTTCCAAATATTCTTCTAAAGAAACAACCTAGAGAAAAAATAAAGTGTTTTTGGATGTTTGAGTGGCCAAAGCCATTTTTTAAAATGAAATAAAACACTTCTTACGTTGCTTGCGGGGGGGCTTTCTTTTGGGTTGCTCTAAGTCATCTGATCCCAAAAAATCTTCTTGTACTTGAAGTGATGAAATGTCATGTACCAATTTTCCTTAAAAATAAAAATAAATAAGGAATACATAAGTACAATAGTAAAACAAAAGGGAAAAAGAGGATAATAACTTCTTATCATGAACTTACAAGTTACAAGTTACAAACAGGTATGCTTTCAAGAATGTCTATGCACCAATAATTTTATTATGAGGACTTCTTGATTAATCGTAAAACTTTGCAAGTACCAATTTGCCAAGCGTAAGTATTACTTAAGTATGGCCAATAAAAAGCTTAATAACAGTACCACGTTTATGAATTTAAAGAGCATTAAGATTGTGAAACTATTACCCAAAAAAAAAAGAGTAAAAGTAAAACAGAAGGAAACATAATGAAGGACAGTAGTTGCAATGCTAGAAAGAGGAAAAAGGTCAATCTAATGAAGCAAGCAAACATAGTAAACTATAATCACGATTGAAGTACATTATCTGGGACTTTAGTCGGACAGTGTGATAGTTGTTGATGTTGTCATGGTGGATGAATTAAATTTCGTGAGTATCTTAATTAGAGACAGTACAAACATAAACAAGAGAAGTCTTTAATCTCACCATGAAACTGCATCTTTAAGCCAAAGAGTGACAAATAGATTGAAAAGAGCACTGCTACTGAAAACATCCAAAACAATAATCTTCTTACACTAATCCTGCCAAACCTAGTCCCTCGGCGAACACCCCGTAAGCCTTGCTTGCTCCGATCAAGGGACTTAAAAACCACTCCAATGATGCCTCTTTTATCTGGCAGCAATTCGCTACTGTGCCTATAAGGAGCCATCACGACATACCTTCCAAACCTCAGGTGCAAACCAGCTCATCTGTGCAATAGTTTCAATGAGAAGCAGAAGACTTTAGAAACCCCAAAATCCTAAAATAATCATTCATGTATTCTTCCAAAATACACCAATCATTTATAGTAAGATATGTGAGTTTAAAGTTTACATGCTATTAGTAAATTATGTAAATTTGGTTTCATAGAGGACTGCAAAGCGAAGTCCAATTTGGCCTCCACCCAAATCTAGTCAGCCATCCCAACTTCCCAAGCAACATGTATTTGTAAACAATGCATGACATCCATATTACTTTCTTTTGGGAAACAAGTTTTAGACCTAGCATCTCCAATCAGTTTCAACATTTTCAAAATATTTCAAAATTTTATCTCCTAGGCTTTCCCACACAATTCCAGAGCATTTTGTCTGTCTTTTTATTTATTTTATTTTATTTTATTTTTTTTTAAAAAGAAGGTAATGGAGCTAGAATTTTATTCGAAAGAATCAGTAAAATGTAGCACATTCAAGGGGCAAACCCCTGCAAAAAATTAATCAATCAAAATATAAATATATATATATATATATATAACAAAAAAATAAAACAAAAAAACATAAGAACAAGAAGCTAAACAAAAACTACATAAATAACCTACACAAATGAAAACCAGTAAATCAACCCATCTCTTCACCCTCTTAAAAGTTTTTTTGAAGGTATGTTTGGATTTATGGATTTTCAAGTGAGGTGGATTTGAAATCCAGAGCTTCAAATCCATAAGTACTTTTGGATGATAAAAACAAGTAGGAATTTAAAAAACCAGGCAAAACAAACAATTGATTCAATGACTAAAAGCTTAAGGTTTTGAAATACCACTTGTTCGAGGCATTATTGTCAAATTCACTATCCTCAATCTTAGACAGTGACAATCTCTCTCACCTCTCCACATCATACGAATCAATCCTAAGTATCTCTCTCTCTCATTAATTATCTTCCTCTTTATCTTCCCCTTTTGATTGAGCTGAAGAATGGATTGACAGAACAAAAAAAAGAAGCCTAACCCAAAATTACCATCACAGAAAACCCTAGTTCCATGGGGGAGAGAGAGAGAGAGATAGGAGGTTATAAATGGTGGTATTAGGTGGTTGGAAAATTCACCTGAATGGAAGTGGAAGAGCTGTGGAGAAAGGGGATAGTTTTGTATAAAGATCGAAATAGAGATCCATTGGATCCGGAGTAGCATTGCCAATTTCGCACCTCATTCCCTTTTTGCAAATAAAAATGTCGCTCCTCCTCAATTTATGGGAGCTTCTATATACGCACACCCTTTCCTCTCTATACAAATCTTTCTTAATACACACACTAAAAAAATAAATCCTAATATATTTGACTTACTACACACACCTATCATTCCACATATACCCCCAAATGTAAATCATACGCACACACCCCCTCTCACACACACACACCCGTGAGACCCCTCTCACACACACACCCATATGAGAACCCCTCTCACACACACACCCATCTCTCGCACTCTCCACCGTTCCTCCCCAAAAGCTTCATCCATCCATTTGTGTCATTGAAGTTTTGGCATTGAAGGGCATTGAAGAGCATTGAAATTTTCACATTTTAGGTTAGTTTACACAGATTATAATCTTCTCATTCCTATTTTATTTGTAATGTAGAGTTAATTTTTACCATTTTCGAAATTTTCAGTCCACTGTGATTGCCGTGTTTCATTCGCAACTGGTTATTCAAAATTTTTGTTTTTGTTCGGCAGTAGAGTTTCGAAATTTCTGCTTCCATTCGGCACTATAGTTCCGAAAATATTGACTTGGTTCGGCTTTCAAGTGCCGAAAATAATTTTTTTTTTCGGTTTTCAACTTCCGAATATGAGCTATAATTTCGGACAACAAGTTCCGAACAGAACAGGTATTTTCGGACAACAACTTCCGAACAGAGTAGGTGTTTTCGGACAACAACTTCCGAACAGAAAATAAATTATTTTTTTTTTCCTTCTAACACTTAATTAAAACACTTAATTATAACACTTAATTATAACACTCACTACACACACTCTCATTAATTTTACACACACTCTCATTATAATTTAAAACACTTATTATTTACACACACACTCTCATTAATTTTGCACACACACTCATTACACACACACTTATATTTTAAAACACTCTCATTAATTTTACACACACAGACCGTTATTATTTACACACACACTCATTACACACACTTAAGTATTTTTTGCAGATAATATGGATTCTGAATATCAACAACGTGTCCCACTTACTGCTTCAAATAGACGACGTCGTGAATTGGATGTAGACCATCAACGGGGACAAGGGCGTGAGCGAGGACGAGGTCAAGGTCGTGGTCGAGGTCGTGATCCAGTTTCGGTAGAATATGATATTCCCAGTGCCAGTCAAAGTGGGGGCCGAAACCAAAGACGAGTTGAAGGTTATGATATGCCTGACATTGGTGTGGAGGATACCTCTTTACCTGATTCTCCTCCTGTCCAGGAAGAGTACCTTACTCATGCTTTTCCAGGTGGACCGAATGATCCGTCAATACTGCGGAGTTTCAATAGTCATGTGGCTGCAGCTATTTGGCACGGGGAGGTAAACATTCCTCAGTAAAATTGAAATTCATTTGTATATGAGTTGTTTTTTTTTTTTTTTGTGTGTTGTATGGTAGTTTGTAATGAGATATCATTTGTGTTGTAGGAACGAGGGCCCCTAAAGTGTCATAATCACTCTTCCAAGATCCTTGCATGGCCATGGTGGTTAGTAGAGAACAACACCAGATTCAAAGCCATTATTGAGCAGTCTGGACTGTCACAGTTAGCTCGTTGCACTTATCGGTTCGTCAACAAGCTTCTAGCCTCATGTTTTGTTGAGAGATGGCAACCTGAGACGAACACATTTCACATGACAGTTGGTGAGATGACCTTGACCCTGGATGATGTTGGCACTATTCTTGGCCTTCCCATTGTAGGCAAATCAGTCAGCATACCAGATGTGACAGATCATCATGGAGTTACATTACTCGTTTATGGCTTGGGGATTACTGAACGTGCAGCATATGAAGAGGTTTCTTCTACTGATGAACCGCGTGTCCATGACCATCAGGATTTCAGCGAACATGCGGATGTAATCTATTATCCTCTCTGATGCATATGTAACTTACTTTTTTTTTTT